CTTCACGGAGACTTCAGAGTTGTCTACCGCTGACGAAGCTTCTGTGAGAGAAGCGAAACGTCCATTTTTGTTTTTTACCCACAGGTACAGATGACGACTGACGGAACCCTTTCTACGATGGAACTTTCCTGTACGACTGAGAGCCTCCACAAGCATACGGCACACCTGACAATATCTCGCGGCACATCAGTGTGCCACAGCACAGGATTTGGAAAACATTGGTCTATACACAACTGTACATACATTTCTGTATTAATTTTAGTACATTTGGATAAGGGCATTTTTTTAATGTACAACCAAGGGATTGGATCCAGACTTGGTATCGGCAGATCCTTAAAACCAAAGACTCGGACTTGGGTGCCAAAAAAATTTAATCGGGACATCCCTACTCTCTTTGTCTAAACGGCTAAACAGTCCATCCTAAGTCTGCATTTTAATATCCAGTGTTCCGTATGACACAGGACCCCATGTGCTTGACACAAGTTAGTTTAATGTTCGAGTTAGTTTAATGTCCTTAAATTACAAAATTGCCTCATGGTGCACAAAAGTCCACGTGGCAAAGAGGAAAAATCACAAACCCGAAAGTAGCCGAAAATGTGAAATTTTCACATTCGCATAATAACAAATTCAACATGTGTGTTGTTACTGCTCCTCTGGTATGTTAAGGGACGCAGACAAGGATTTGGGCGCCTGTTAAAACATTGAGGCACTTTTTTTTAAGGCTGTAAAATAGATATAATTTTCATCATGTTGTTTCACTCACCATATGTCCTGTATGTGTCCCACAGGCCTCAGATGAGAAGCTCTCAGTAGACAGTGTGCTGCAGATGCCCAGCTCTGATGTACTGGACACAATGAAGCGCCTGGGCTCCAACTCTGAGGATCGTTCCCGCCTTACTGCTGCCCTCTCCTGTCTAAAGAGTCCCACAGAAACAGGTGAACCAAGAAACAGAACACTGTATTGATAGTCCTGCACGCCAACTGTGTTACGTCATACTGTGTGTGAAACTACAGATGCATTTGTCTTCTTTATTTGGCCTATGTCAAATGGCGTCCGGGAGGAACAACTTGACACTTTGGTCGATTTTTTTATTATATATATATATATATATATAATAAAAAATATAAATATGTATATATATATATATAGTCACAATTTCTTGCACTTGATCGAAAGAGACAAACTAGCCATTGTGTTTCACGTTTTATTTGAAGAATTGAAAATGTATGCAGTTGAACAATATCTATGTACCTTGTGATGAATCCGCAGACAGGAAATACAAAATTACTGGCCTCACATTACCCTAACGGCCTAATACTGGCTGGAAAGAGAATGGGAATCGAGATTTAGCAGCCAACACAACTACAAGTCACACGATTGACTAGCGATATTCAAACGTTTGGTCTCTGTACAAGCCCCTACTCCACTCCCGTGGAAGAAACCCCGCAAACAAACACGCGCGAGACACGCAGTGCATGTTTCCATCAGTGGTCAGTGAAACGGAAATCTGTCATTGATGACTGAGAAGGTCCGCCGGGATTCGCCCGGTTCGTGATGATTCGGTGACCGAAAAGCTACTTCCGTCAGTTTTTTTTTTTTTTTTTAATTCCCGCCATTCATCATTCATGAGCACCATGACTATGTAATGTGTTTAACGTCATTTGTATATATATGTATTTGACCAGAAAGAAAGGTTGAGGAAAAGCTGTATTTGCTTTTGAGCTAAAACTTTGCTGTCTGTTTATGGTCCATTATTGCCTTAATGAGTACACATGGTATACAAAATGGATGGTCAGATCCATTACAATGATGCAGAAATTGCCATCATTGATTGCGCATGATTGTGAATTTTAATTGAGCAATTATTAAATGTGATTATAACTTTGTTTTGGCACTATATGGACTGTACTAACATGTTTGTGTCTAATTCTGACTGATGAGTTGGAGATATGAGGCCTGATTCCCAACGGCGCATTCATTCCACCAACCAACAGTCCACAGTTAGGCACAGCCGATCCATCTCCATATCCGTGGTTCCGTGTTCGGGTGACAACCAACCTTACATACCTACTGAGGAAATGGTTGACGCCTTCTCATTGGCGCCAAGCACTCCCTCCAGAATCCCAGCTTCGAAGATACAAACCGCCAAAACGGTCCATACTCCACCACCGCCTTCCCGTAAGCTTCTGCAACTCCTGCCTATCTCCATCGGACCAACGCGAAGCAAGAGTCATGACTCACAAGCGGAGCCTGCAAACCACAAGTGGGTTGTTGCATTGTGTGTAACTTCTGTTCCAAAAAGGCGCAGCTCACATCGCAATTGGATTTTTAAAAAACACATATTACATCTTGCTTAGTATTGATGCACCCTCAAACGTGAACAGTGAAGTAGCAAAGGTAGTGAAACACACTATCTGTGTGACTTGACTCACGCCGAAAGAAAAGTTTATTTGGTATACGGTAGTTCTACTTTCATCTTGACTGGCAAACCGTTCGTTTGAGCATCCTTATCGTTAACACCAATTCATCTTTCAGCGACAGTAGTAGGACGACACAAGTCATCTACCTAAATGTTCAGATTGAAAGGGTATCCCAGCTTTAGTATACAATAGATGAAATAATAAGACAGAGGTGGAATTAACACAGAGATCTGTTTGTAAGTATTTGGACAAACAAACAAACAAACAGACAGACAGATAATGCTGCTGAGTGCGAGTCCCACTGCAAAACCAAATATTCAAAGTAAGACAAGTTGCTAAAAAGAGTTTGCTTCCTGAGGACTGTTAAGGTGACGTTGAGCAAGATATCAACTGCTCTCAGTTCCTCAAACTGTAGTAGAAAACCATGGTCCTAAATTTGAAGTGTTTTTTTTTAAACTATACTATGCTGTATTATATTATATTATGCTATGCTATGCTATGCTACAGGGAAGTTCGGTACCACATTTTTCAGGCCGATACCAGTACAAGGATTCCCTCTCTACGATACTAAGAACTGATAACGACATTTATGTTACATAATATTTATTATATACTGTATATATATATCATTTTATAACACAATGACAGAAAATTCTGACGAAAGATCAAAGACTTTTCTGTCTTTCTGACGCACCTGATAATTCACTGTTGTGTCAAACAGCTGCTGTGTAGCGCCAATGACTCAAAACAACAAACCTCTACACTACAATACAGCATTTCACAATCAATACGTATCAAATAAAATGACAAAAACATAGAAACTTAAAGTAAAATGCATGATACTCACCAGATGCTGATGAAAATCTCCTTTCTTTTCCCCCGCCTGTCTGTGTAAACTATCGAATTGCAAATTGAATACATGTGTAGAGATCTATTTCCGTGATTTGCTTCTTCATTCAAATTAGCTCAGACTTGAGAGAGCAAACAGCACAGTTTGGAATAATCATAATTGTTCTTCTGAGATTTCTGTCAACAGAAATACAGGTTGTGAGCTTCACTGCTAGCTGCTCTGTGTCTTTGAAGGGCCAACAAGAAGAACAAGGCGCTGGCTTCTATGCACTTTAATGGGAACAGTTTTGAAGATTCAAACCTGCGTTCACCCCTGCTGTCTGCCCGCACACACAGCCCCGTCCCTGCCTCGGCCCCGTACACGATGACCGCCGCCCCGACATCCCTGGACAGTGAGTTCAGTAGTTATCACATCAGGCATCCACTTGTATGGCACGTCTCATTTTATTGTTTAATTCACACAGTGCGTGCTGGTGTGTTTCACAGACCTCGCTGTACACAGGAGTTCACCTCAGACAGTGAGGCGAGATATCGGTTTGGCTGTTACCCACAGGTGAGTACTAACCTTAAAGGGATGCAACCAGGCAACATTGAACTGTGAGGCAGATGTGCTAACGGTTACCACATCAGATGCAGCTAACCAGTCGGCAGCTGTGGTCACCATTCCATTTTATATTTTTAATTTATTCGCATATCTAATAATAGCAGCCTGCATGCCATTTACAGTATGCAAAATCTAAAAATAGGAACAGTTATTATTTGCATCTTACGATGAGGGAAGTGGAGGGGTTAGGGCAGGGGTGTCAAACCTACAGCCCGCGGGCCGGAACAGGCCCCCAAGGAGCTTCGATCAGGCCCGCAGGATAATTTAAAAGTGAAAAAATACACGGATTTAATATTTTTAATAAGCTGCAATTCATGGATCATCCGCTAGGGGAACACAGTTTTGATCAGAGTAGAAGACAACATTGTTTTGATCAGAGAAGAAGTCAACAGCAGTCTCAGTCTGTCACTGAGACAGACCCAACACAGCAGTAAAGGCCAGCTACGTAATTGCTAGTGAAATAGCATTAGCATCAAAGCCGTATTCCGACGGTGACTTTGTTAAACGATGCATGATGAAGGCGGCTGAACTTGTGTGTCCCGAGAAGTGACAAGCTTTTGCCAACAAAGGAAATAAATGATATTTTGGTTATTTATAGCAGAGTAGGGTATAATTTTAATGGTCCGGCCCACATGACATCTACCAAGGCCGTATGTGGCCCACAATGTCAAATTAGTTTTGACACCCCTGGGTTAGGACTTTTGTGTCACAGGATATTGGTTCGGTTTTCTCCAAATGCCATGATGCTCTCATTCTTTGTGTAACCTTCCACTCACGATCACTACACAACTTTTCTCTTGTTAAATTTTGACCGTATCTCTTGAGACTGACTTTTTTTTTCAGTATACCACTTACTTCTCCAAATAGAGATTCTGGTAAGAAATCGACTTGATTATCGTAGTGGATTTTTTTTCTTTCCAGTTTGACCCCAATATATCGACGGGTGTTCATCTTCAACCAAATGACATTGTTTACATTTAGTGCGTACAGTTGAGATGAAGTATATAGTATTTATAGTTTAGAGCTTCAGCCTTATCAGCCCTATAATTGACTGATGATCCAGATCAGCAGTATGGACAATGGATAGGTGGTTTTCAACATAAAAAGTCTTTCTTCATTCTTCCTTTCAGATTTTCAACAAAATCGTGGCTCTCCCAGATATGCCAAGTGTGTGGCAAGAACATGATCTTTGGTGTGAAGTGTAAACATTGCAAGTAAGAAACTCATTATTTTTACCTTATGCATGATCATGATGATGATGATGATGTAGCATCTGCATTCTTCCTTTTTCTCTCTCCAGATTAAAGTGTCACAACAAATGTACCAAAGATGCTCCCTCTTGTCGGATATCATTTCTCACATGTAAGCAATGATCACGATCAGGGAAATAACATCTTAACTTAAACTTCCAATTTGCCACTACAAAAAAAAAAACATGCCCTATACATCACAATGTAAGACATCTGCTGCATTTGATTCAAGAAGTACGGATGCAACTTCAGTTAATATTATGGTGAAAGGATGATCATCAGGAGTGTCGCTGATTTGTAGCCCACTGGAAATCCCTTTTACTTTGGACGCCACCATTTCAGTGATGCAATCTGAAAATGGAATCTTGAGTCAAGAACTGCCCTGTTCAAAATCTGTTTAAAATTCAACATTACAATTGCTCTTTAACCCTTTCATGCATGCTGTAACCAGATAACATGATAAGGTGTCCACTGCAGTAACTGCTGTCCCTGAAAGGGTTAAAATGGGTTTCTACATGATGTGTCAACCATGGTATTTGTATGGTGAATTAACCCCCCCTTGTGGAGTGGAGTCACCCTCTGTAGAAGGGATGCAGAGATGGTGGTAGGGCAGGCATGTCCACCTCCGGTCCCCACTGGCTACTGTCCTGCCTGTTTTCCATCTCTCCTTGCTGCAACTCACCCGATTCAAATGATCAGCTCAACAGCCGGCACTGAAGCGGCATTAGAGCAATCCGAATTATTTGAATCAGGTGTTTTGCAGCCGGGAGAGATGGAAAACAGGCAGAACAGCGGCCCTTGAGGACTGAGTTTTGGCACCCCTGTGGTAGGGAAGCCACAGTTACATAAAGGAAAGCAAGTATGTTGGTGAACGAAGCCAAAATGTTGTCAATGAGCGTTCCTTTACGTTTGTTTTATTTGTGCACTGGAAGATTTGTGTGTGTTGTGAAAAAGCTGGTTACTTAATTCAAAAAATTCATTGCTTTTTCCGTATTTTTTTATAAAGCAAAATATTTGAAAGAAAATACAAGATCCACTTTGCTGTTTTTCGTCATATAGTTCTTGCTGCTGGGGTAGTGGGGCACTTAAGAGCCGCCTCTTTTGGTTCCCAAACAGCTCTTCAGATTATTTTTTTTGGGAGTGGGGGGGGGGGGGGGATTATATCAATTTGTTATTAATTTAAAAAAAACACAAAGAATCATGCATATACGCATGTAAAAAAATACACATACTGTTTTATCTGTTTATTTTAATTTATGACTTTTTTTCCTCCATATAGAGCTACAAAAATATTTAGTTCAAAAACCTTAGCTATTTTCAGCATAACATTTAATAATTTCAGATTTTAACTTTTTTTTTGTCCTAAACTAATTTAACCCTTTCAGGGACAGCGGTTACTCCACTGGACAGTTTACCATGTTATCAGGTTACAGGGTGCATGAAAGGGTTAAAATCTTTTTTTTTTTTTTTTTTTTCCTTGCCGATTACATTCTGCGTTTATATTGTCAATAAAGTTTAGCAGTGTCCAGATAGCACTCCCTTTCCTGCTGCTGTTTTCTTTAGTATTCCTTACGATCATTTTGGTGTTGTCTCTCCTTGGTCTGTTTCTCTCTGTTCAGTCTCTCTCCCCTGTGTGCTGTAACTGCCGCTACTTAGGCACTCTGCAGTCACAGACGAATTGAGATTCACATGAGAGTGAATGGAGCCGGCCGGCTCTTGTTGTTCACTTAAAATAAAAAATAAAAAATGGCTCTCAGAGCTGTTTCGTTTGCGACCAACACATCACTATCACACCGGGTGCCATTCAAGCTAGGACAGCCACTGCTAGTGGCAAAGAAGGATAGGTTAGCATTTAATTTGAAAGTCCGCTGTACATTCACATTGTCAATCTTTTCATTTGGTTGGTAGTGCCAAAGATGCGAAGGGCAGAATCAGTGCCGTCTGATATCAACAATCGTATTGATCACAAAGCAAAGATCCCACTGCAGTTTGGCACATTACCAAAGGCAATAACCAAAAGGGTATGTACAACTTCTGCTGCGCTGGAATTTGTGATCATCCATTCATCTGTCCATCTACCTATATCCATTTTCACACCACAGCAGCCTCCTAACCAGCTGGACTCCAGTAGTAACCCATCATCAGCCGCCTCCTCCACACCTTCCTCTCCAGCACGTTCCCAGCAGAGCAACCCACCCAGTGTCAGCACCACCCCCCCACTCAACACGTCTCCCCAAGGTTCCCAGGACGACAATTTTCACTTCCCAGGTCAACCCACTGTGGCTACTTCATATCTTCGCAAAAAAAAAAAAAAAAAAAAAAAAAATCATAGACATGGCATTTTTTTACATTCTCTCTTGTCCAAACTATTTAATGTTTTTAGCTGTTTTTTTAATATTATAAATCCATATATTGCTAATCATTTGGGAAGAAATGAATCCATCCATCCATCCTTAAATCATATATTAATCGGTATTTTGTTTGGACAGATTAGGTCATGTTATGTAACCACATTAACTGGCTTGTTTTGGGTTTCTGTCTGTCTTTGTCAAGTAATAAGTACAAATTTATAGCTTTCGATTTGAACTTACCACACTGATGTTACCAAACTTTAAACGCTTTACATGTAAAGAATAAGTCAGTTATGATACAAGTGCATGAGAAACATGACCTATTTCAGGGAAACAAAGAGGGATTCTGAAGTTATTTCTGTTTCTTTAACAGATGTCCCCAATTCCAAGAATACTGATAGTCAACAGTCTGACAGCTCCAACGGCTCTGGGTAAAATGCTCGAGCAGAATTTGTCTACTTGATGAAAAAGTGTCTAAATTAATTATTGTTTTTCTTAGAGTATCGCAGACAGCCATTACTGCGACGCAAGTAAAAGCACCTGAGCAAAACCAGGTTTGTACAGGCAGTCCATTTGACACTCTGGGGCATGCAGAGTGCGGGACCGATGGGGTGGCGGCCCTGGGCATGCACAATGACCCCCACTGACAACGAATATTATCAATGATAGTATGCCAGTGCTGATAGCTTTGTCTCGCAGAAGGTGCGTTTGCCATTGTTGGAGGGGCCATCGAAAAAAATCTTCTTTCCGACACTTATACAAATAAATTGCAAAAGCAAAGTAATTTTCCTCTTGTAACTTAAAACTTAACATCAAATGCACTTTTAAACCATGTCTAAGTCATTCACAGTCAGCGTACAATATTATGTAACACTGAAGGCAGAGTGTCAGAGTCCAAAAGTTTACCTTCTAAAAGTTGAGGTGGTAAGTACAACCAGTTACAGTCTTATAAAGTGCACACGCAAACAGGAAACCATTAAAAAAATAGTTGCAGTTACAATTTAGTTCTGCTCTTACTTCTCTTTCATCATAGAGAAATATTCACTCACCGTTATTTCGATCAATGAATGTTGTTCTTTTCATTCTTAGCGTGCAGATGAGCATCATTCTGCTGGAGAGGACCAAAGCAAAAGCTTCTCCAACGAGGACTTTGATGAAGATGGCCTGGAAGACCTACCTCCGTCTATTTGTCGGCGTAGGACCGTTGGCCGTTGGAGCGGGGAACTCAACCGCAAAGCCAGTCAGACCAGCGTCTACCTGCAGGAATGGGACATCCCATATGAGGAGCTGCAGCTCGGAGAGCTTGTAGGAAAGGTGAAGATGCAGATGTGCCTTACTTTCAGCAAAAAGATAATATGACATACACAGGACACCTAATACTGTCCATTACAAATGATCAAGGATACCGACATAAACCCAGAGAGGGAATTTGTAAACTTCAGTAGCACTCAGCACATCAAGACCTCAGCCAAGAAGAACCGTTTAAGGGACAGCGGTTACTCCAGTGGACAGCTTATCATGTTATCAGGTTACAGAAGGGACCAGCAACCCAAAATGTTGAAAGAGCCATATTGGACCAAAAAACAAATATGTCTGGAGCCGCAAAAAATTAAAAGCCTTATAATGAAGGCAACACATGCTGTTAGCTGTATTAGCCTACTATCAAAATGACTAAGTTGGGTACAAATACACAAAGAGTCTTCATGATTAAATGTTTTTTTTTCCCTGCAGAGCATCCTGTAGAGCAGTGTTTTTCAAACTTTTTTGAGCCAAGGCACACTTCTTTCATTGGAAAAATCTCGCGGCACACCACTAGCTGAAAATGTGAAAAAAAAAAAAAAACGCTTATTTGAATAATTAATGTGTTATATTGTTACTATAACCGTTTTTAGCATTGAAGAATGACATTATAACAGCTTGAATTGGAATCAAATGAACACAAAGAAAAAAGTATTTTCTCATCTTTCATATTTATTGTTTCACTGTCATCCTGCATTCATGCGTCACAAATTCGCTTGTCTCTCGTCTAAACATAAGGCAATTGGCTGGCTGTTGCTGCTCCCTAGCGGTATGGGAGGGTACTACACGATTACTTTCTGTGCGATAGACCACACAGGCATACAAATTGGATATTTTCCGGCGGCATACTTGACAATGTCTTGCGGCACACTTGTGTGCCGCGGCACAAAGGTTGAAAAACACTTATGTAGAGCAGGGGTGCCCAACCTTTTTTGACCGAAGATCTACTTTTCCATCAACCAGCCTCCCAAAATCGACCCGTTACCGCACGCACCCATACTTCCGCACTTACACACGCATGCCATAATGACCAACAGCCATAATGGCCCCTCAGATGAAGAAAGCATGGGACGCACTTTTGCACCGTTAGCTATCGTAGCTCACGTGTACCGTTTAAAACTGCTTCTCTTGGGTCTCCAGATTTCCATTCTTTGCCAGTACCCTCGGTGAATTGTACATGAAACATCGTGTTTGTTTTGTTTCTTTTTGGGGTTTTTTGTTTGTTTTTTTTCCTGCAACAGCCACCTGCCTGGCATCCCGTTCTGCTAATAGAAATGTGTGTTGCAGGCTGTGACGCAAATCTTCGTTGACAAAAATGTTGAAATTAAATATTTATTCTACACATTTTTACAGCATTGGAAAATGTTAAGAATGTTTGTCATGTTTGTCCTCCTACAGAAACCGTATTAAAACAAAAAATATATTTCCCTTCCCCATCTTCCATTTTCAAACATTTTTGAAAAAGCTCCAGGGAGCCACTAGGGCAGCGCTAAAGAGCCGCTGGTTGCCGACCCCCGGGTTACAGGGTGCATGAAAGAGTTAAATTGACAACACAAAATAGAGCATATTTGGGTTTTGGCTTGAATATGTTCTGCCAAGTGGCAGGTTTCTGCAATCAGCAGCGTGCACACCGATGACAATGAGGCAATGGATGGCAGTGACTGGTCTTTCTGTGAAGACATACATCTCGCTCACAGCTTCTGTAGTTAACTCTTTTCTTTTCGACACCTTTGGCTTTAACTCAACCTCAATCAAGACAAAGAGTAGTGCAACCTGGACACACTGTCAGTGATGTTCCCGGGGTCATAGGGTGTTTCGGGTCTTACATCAGACAACCTCACCCGGGAGACCCAGACAGGGATGATCAGGCCCCGACTTGTGTCCCGGTAGCGCACTGCGCTACATGTCCCCACTCCTTAGTCACCATGAAGCCTTTTCAGCAGCCTTGAGGATGGTTTTGATGGCCCCACGCCTGTGCAGTCCGCAAATGCCTAAGAGTCCCATACCTGGTATAGAGACTGTCCTGCGAAGCCCCTGCAGCCCACTTCAATAGGCTCCAGCGGGCCTTCCATCCTTTCCGCCGGCATGCCGCTATGAGGTCTGCCTACTTGGCTGTCTTCCTCTACTCGATTTTCCCGGGGGACAGTTAACTCAGTAACATATGTAACCTGCAATTTACAGAGGATGACAAATTTAAGTTTTTTTCCTGTATCTTATTAGGCTATACTAGGTCACAGATTATAATTACCGGTAATAAACCAACAAAATGGCAATCAAAACAATAGCTCTCGCCCTCATATGAGTACGAGAAAAAAATTGTAATCATCAATCATAGTTTGAACACTGTGAAATAGGATGTGATGTATATTTTTGCAAGTGGTAGAGCAGACATCTGTGTAAAACACCAAACATGAGTGGCTTTTGACTCTCCAGGGCCGATGGGGGAAGGTGTTCAGGGGTCGCTGGCACGGCGAGGTAGCCATTCGCCTTGTGGAGGTGGACGGCAATAACCAGGAGCACCTGAAGCTTTTTAAGAAGGAGGTGATGAACTACAGGCAAACCAGACATGAAAACGTCATCCTGTTCATGGGCGCCTGCATGGCCCCGCCCCACCTTGCTATTGTCACAAGGTAGAACTAAGATGTTTATATTCTGCTTCCGTTTTTTTTCTTACTCCCTCTAATACACAAAAACACAGAAGTTATTATTTCTGAGTGGAAAATGTCTGTGACAATGCTGCATATTTTGCTTTGCAGTTTCTGTAAAGGGGTTCCTTTATTCTCTTTTGTAAGAGAAAGAGGCCATTTGTTGGATATAAATAATACCAGGCAGATTGCACAAGAAATTGTCAAGGTAAGAGGCAGCAATTTAGAATGTGTAAAATGGAAATAAAAGTATACAATGATTTGCAAATCCTTTTCAACTATATATATATATATATA